CGGCCTCAAAAAACTATAACACTCTTCCCTATAACAGATCTAACAGACGGGCCCAAAACTACAGAGTAAACAAGGTCTCATAATTTTTCTTTCCTTCTGCCTCTTTGATCCCTTTTTTCCTAGCCAGATGTCATTACCGCAGGGTTTTTTTTCCAACTGGGAGATCAGGGCGAAGAAGTAGTTTCTCAAAAGTCAATACCAATTGCACGCCACTGATAAAGGTGGAGCGAATGTTCCATAAACAATAGAGCTGGCACAGTCCCCAGCCTGGGGTACACCCCATGACTGTTCTGCAGCCTCGGGCTCGCTTCCTGTGATTCTCATAATAAAAGAGCCCAGCGTGATCATATGAGATTGGATACTGTGCTTACAAAGTCTATTAAAATGAATTCTAATGTGATTTTTGTAGATTTAAAGAGCAGAGCCAAGAACTTAAACATTTTAGTGACCTGACCCCTAACCATACAGAAAGAGCAGTTCATTTTTATAACTCAGGAGTTCCTTTACAAAAATGTGTCACTGTCTTAAAAATAGCCCCAAATCATACAATAATAACCATGTGCTAATTTCTAAAAACTCACACCCTTTGCCTTTCAGTGAGGTGATACTGAGCTGCCTACTTTTCCTAAAATAGTTCCAGTGGTTGAAAAAAAACATAGGAAATCGTTTTCTTAATTTTCCACATTTTTCTTGCTTGTAGTTAAAGATTTAGAAACTAAAAAAGTCCATCTATCTTTGTGTTTAAATGATTCGTACAACTCTTTAGGACCCACTGTGTGCCAGTCAGTGTGTCAAGCTCTGGAAACAGAGGGGGAAAGAGAACACACATAAATTCGGTGCCAAGGGACTTACTGGTCTAGTAGGAAAAAGTGCTTATAGAGGTTTAACTGCAAATGTGCACGTAATTATAAATCGTGGCATGTGCAGTAAGGGAAAAACAGGAGGTTCTAAGGGTCACAGGAACCCTTCCGCAGAGTGGACTCTGGTGATCGAGCGAGCTCTCAGAGGAGTTACTATTTAAGCTAAGAGCTAAGTGATAAGAAGATACCACCTGATAAATGATGGGAAAAGGAGCATTCCAGGCAGCGGAAATAGCAGGTGCCAAGGCCATGGGTGGGTGGAAAGAGGGAGAAATGGAAAAAGGCCACGGTGGCTGGGATGCAGTGAGCAAGACAGCGATACAA